CTGATGTTTCTACGTCCACCCTGACCCACTGTTAGAGTCCCAGCTATAGTTAACTATCCCTCAAAAGGTGTCAAAACACTATGAAAGTATAAAAATACGTTTTACTACCAGCAATACCGTTTTGGAGAAATTATTACCAGCAGTACATTTTTTAAAAGAAACTATTACCAACAATACATTTTTGGAAAAAATATATTACCAGCAATAAAAATCTTGTTAGCATTAAATAACCCTTCAAGGTTGATATACCGTAAAACAAACCAAACCATAGAGGAAGTTCGTCAGAACAATTACCATGAAAATACATAAATAAAAGTCACAGGAAAGCTACATTTCAGCAGTGTGCAAGTGAGTGAACCCAAGATGCCAGGTCAGGACTGATGACACTGCAGATTCTTCTTTGGATTCTATCAAGAATCTCTAAATATATATCAAAAACAGTAGATCAGATATAACAGCAATAGTCATTGCGTGGACAAATAGTCAGTTATGTGCCATGCATGATACACGCTTAGGCAATCATGTATCAAAAGATACATGACTGACGAGGCAGATTTTTTTTCCAACAGTAGGTTGCCATTTCTTTCTGTGGTAGACCAGTTGTCCTCCAAGGCTATAGAACCCAGGCTCTCCTGCTATTTACCCATAGCTGGGGGGAGAAGAAGAGGATTCATACCTTTCCCAAGGGTATTAGCACATAAGTGAATGTAATGGATTTGACTTGGATTTGAACTTGGCTCTCTGGTTCCTCAATCCGAGCTGCTATCCATTACTACACTGTGATAAATAGAAGACTTTTAAATATGCAAGATAGATTCTGGTGAGAAAAATTTTCTTGCTTGACATATTAAATCAATATTCTTAGAAGCAGACCTAGCAATGGAGTCAATATAATCATTTTACTTGAGAAAATAATTCACTGAGAAACATATAATGCAGGATATTTTTTATAAACTGTTAAGACTGGATTTCTATAAATGCATAATTAATATTTGATTTTGAGATCCCTATAATAAATACCTGATTTTCGTTTTTTACGAAACCTGTAATCGAACAAACACCAAACAGCATCAAGGAACTCCAATATGAATCCTAGCTCTGAATTTCATGTTATGGTGATTGTGTGAGCCTCAACTCCATATTTGCATTGGAGTCCCAGAGTGTATTTTGGTGTTTGTCATTTGTTACGGTGCTGTCTTTAGAGATATTGAGTACTTTAGGCTTATAATTAGGTAGGTGTTTGTCATTTTCTCTTTGTTTCTTTTTAGGTTTTCTTTTTTGATAAGTTTTTTTGTTGGTAAGGTTGTTCTTTGATGCTTTATTGTTTATTTGGTTTATTTTTTTTCTCTCACTCTAAGATATATATATATTATGAAATGGACGAAGTCTGACAATTATTTTAAGACATTTTATGTTTACGCATTCTTTTTATAGATACAAATATTTAAGTAAATGCTCTGTTTATAATAAACAGTATTAAACAACATTTACCGGCCTGAATGTCTGAGAAATTTTCATAGAAAATATTCGTCCTCCGACAGGATTCGAACCTGTATCCTATACGGAAGAGTCATATAGTCTGACGTGCCTTTTAACCCATTCGTCCACAGAGGATTGTTCGTTTAGCATTTACTTAAATATTTGTATCTATAAAAAGAATGTATAAACATAAAATGTTTTAAAATAATTGTCGGACTTTGTCCATTTCATAATGCGTGACGTCATTTGTTTACATTTGATACGCCATGAGCAGATATGAATGTAAGTGAGAGATTCATGGATGATTGAAGTTTAAAGGCAGTAAATTCAACCTTGCCAACCGAACAATCCTCTGTGGCTGAATCGGTTAAACAGAGCATTTACTTAAATATTTGTATCTAAAAAAAGAATGTATATATATATATATATATATATATATATATCCTTACTCTGTCCTAGACATTGAGTTCTACCTGGATCCTTCCTCTTGGAAAATTTTTTTCTGAAAATATACATGTATGGGAATTTTTTAGATATATTTTCATATGTATGTATATTTTCCACTAATATTATCTATATATATATATATATATATATATATATATATACACACATACATAAATACATTAATTTAATTGCTGCAAACATCTCTATAGAAGAGTTTGAAATTGCTATTGAAAACCGAGCATACTGGAGAAACACCTGCCACCGAGGTATAACTAAATTTGAAAAGAATCGTCTCAACCATCTGAGAGAATTAAGAATTAACATTAAATCTCGGGCTAATACATCAGACCATATGATGGTCAACTGTTCAGTATGCTCTTCGTGTGGATTTGTTTGCAAATCCCGTGCACAATTGTTGTCTCATCTGAAGCATAAACATAAAAACTGAACTGAAAGACACTCATATGTCAAAAATGACAGGATAATCTATCATCATCATCATACACACACACACATATATATATATATATACATATATATTTATGGTATAATATGATACATAAGCTATACATTAGACTAACAGTTGGTAAATGAATGGCAAAATAGAAAATATCCTATGTATGGTGCGTTTTGTCCTTGAAAATGACTTCTTCAGACTAAATAACATTCTAACCACTGGTGTGTGTGTGTGTGTGTGTATTTTGATTGCAATTTTTCTTGTTTGCATATGTCATTAAAGAGCACAATAAAGATTTCTTTTCAGAGTTTTCCTTTTCTTAGAAGTATCTTGTTTTGATTGACGGCTTGAGATTATTAATATGTTTCCCAACATTTTTATCTGAGTGCTTTCAGGTGCTTTGGCCATTTTCTGGAAGTAAGGTTGTTTTCAACCAGTCAATCACTCTGTACATATATATATATATATATATATATATATATATATATATGTATGTATGTGTGTGTGTGTGCATGTATCTGTCTGCTTGTGTATTCATTTTTTTTTAATATAAAAACAGCATTTTCTAGGTCAAAATTGTGATTAGGAAGTTTCTAATGACATCCAAGCACACTGACCAAAAGTTTCTAAATTTTGTAAAGAATTCTAAAAAAAAAAAAAAAAAAAAAAATATGGTATTGATTATAGGTTAAAAAAATGGAAAACAGCATTATAAGCTACTAATAATAAATTCGGGATTAATTATAGGTCATTAGAAATTCATTACTAATTATGGATTTTTAAAAAAACAATTTGATTATAGGTTTCATTAAAAAAAAAAATATCATGTATTTTGGCTGCAGGAGTTGTCAAAGGTTTGTCAGTGTTGATAGCCAACCGCCTTTGTGGATCCACTCTGGATTTTATATCTGGATCTACTTCCACTGATATGGATATAATCGAAAATCAACAGAGTTTTAAAATCACGGTTTTCCTTCCTTTGGTTTGACGATTTCCAGTTACTCGAAGCAGATTTCTTTGGCTTGGAGCTGAATTTCATTGACATAAGCGACTTGAGACATGCCACAAGAGTGTTTTATAGACAGTGAGATCTGATATATCTGATCACACACACAGAAATAAATATATTTGCAGACAAAAGTAATACTTTTGTATTGTATAGATATACTCACAATTGAGTGTGTGTGTGTGTGTACATGTGAAATAGAGCTCTCTCTCTCTATATATATATATATATATATATATATATACTGAGGAAATTTGACAAATAGCAAAACATTTCATTGAAACAAGATTTGATTTCGCCATTCTAGGCTTCATCAAATCCAAAAACGAAAGGAAGAAATATGTGTATGCGTGTTTGCTTAAATAACAAATAATTAGTACAAAGTTGCTCATTTTCTTTTTCTTTCAACACGAGAAACACCACCTTAGAAAAAAGTACTAATGATACATTATTTAAACACACACATGCACACACATCTCTTTCTTTCATTTTGAGATCTGATGGAGCCTAGAAAAGCGAAATTCATGGTCAAATCTAGTTTCAATGAAACGGTTTTCCATTTATTAAATTTCTTCAAAACTTTGTCAGGATTCTATAAAATATTATAAACATTATATATATATATATATATATATATATATATGTATATATATATATATATATATATATATATATATATATATATATATAATATGTTAGCTCTATCTCTGATATTGAGTGCTTTCTAATAAGTACCAGCATATAATATATAAATAATTATACATATATATATATTTATTTATATTTATATACACTTTTCATATATATATATATATATATATATATATATATATATATATATATATAAAAGGCTCGAAAATAAAATTTCATAGTCATAATTTATTTCATTTAGTTCGTCATAATGACCCAACTCCTCAAGCCTACAAATTCAGAAAGCTTTTTGAGACAGAGCAAAAATATGATGTAAAGGGTCAAACACTAATATTTTATGGTTATAATTTATTTCATTGGATTTGTAATAATGACCCAACTCCTCAGACCTACAAATTCAAAAAGCTTTTGGAATTTGTTGGTCTGAAGGTTGTTATTATGGATCCAGTGAAATAAATTATAACCATGAAATATCAGTGTTCGAGCCTTTTATATCATATTCTTGCTCTATCTCTCCCTGGATTATATTGTCTTGGAATATATATAAATATATATATATATTGACCACTAATATTATCTTTCTCACTCCCTCTCTCTCTTTATATATATATATATATATATATATATATATATATATACATACACACACACGTGAAAGCTCTCCTAAATTAAGGAAAATGGTTAAATTTTGGTACAGATTAAGAAACATTTGAAGGAACGCCAGTAATACGTACAAGACTAAGAAAACAAGACATCTTTTTTTGTTTCTTCGCCACAACTTTTGTCTCTTTTGCTATTAAAAATTGTATTTACATATGAATAAAAATATTTTTATTAAATACTAATTCTGTGTGCAACCAAAAAAATCTATGTCCATGTCCTCATGCTGTTGTGCGATGCAATCGAACAGATTTGAATTTGCAGACTTCAGAATTTTGGTCCCAGTGACTGATGGAAATATTAGATATTATCATTTGTCCATGGCAGTAATAATTTGATAATGAAGTTGGGGGTGGGGCGAGAGTGGATAGAATAGGAAAGGTGATCATGAGGGGTGGGGGTGATAAAGTCGGTCAGGCGAATATTTGGTGGGTGAAGAAAGCAAGGAGGTGGTTCTGGAGGAATAGATAACTCATCAAAAGCTGAAAAAAAGAAGGGAAAAGAAATGCAAGAAGGAAATAGAAAAGTGAAGAGGCGAGAGGAAAAGAAAAAAAGAAAAGATCGAAAAAAGAAAGGAAGAAAGAAAAATAGAAAAAGGGAAAAAAAGCGAAAAAAGGAGAGAAATAAAGATAAAAAAGCGAGCCAAGTGGAGAAATCAAATGAATGAAAAAAAAGACAGAAATAAATAAAAAAGAGAAAGAACGAAAACGAGAGAAAAAGAAAAAGTAAAACGAATGAAAGAGAGAAAAATAAGTGGAAAAGGTAAAAAGGAAACAAGAAAAATGAACGAAAAGGTAAAAATAAAACAAGAAAAGAATGAAAATGGGCGAAAAAGTTAAAAATGAAACAAAAGGAAGGAAAGAAAAATGAGCGAAAAAGGTAAAATTGAAATAGCGAATGAAAGAAAAATGAGCGAAAAAGGTAAAATTGAAATAGCGAAAGAAAGAAAAATGAGCGAAAAAGGTAGAAATGAAATAAGAAAAGAAAGAAAAATGGGCAAAAAAGGTTAAAATGAAAAAATAGAAAGAAAAAATGAAAAATGAGCGAAAATGGTAAAATTGAAACAGGAAAGAAAAATGAGCGAAAAAGGGAAAAATGAAACATGGAAAGAAAGAAAAATGAGTGAAAAAGAAAAAATGAAACAAGATAAGGAAAGAAAGAAAATGATAGATAATAGAATATTTTCATATACTGATGACGTAATTTTGTTTTTTTAAAAAAAGGCTTAAAGAAAAATGTTGAAATTAAATTCTCCATTGATGCAAAAAAAATATTTTGAAGGTCAGAAAGAAGGATGTGAAGGAAAATCGAAAGAAATAGGACAGGGCGAGAAGAAGAGAGAAGGAAATAAGACAACGAAAGCAAAGTGAAGAAGCAAAGACACAGAGAGAGAGAGAGAGAGAGAGAGAGAGAGAGAGAGAAAGAGGAAAGTATGGCAAGATGGGAAGAAAAGAGAGAAAGAGAAGGAAATAAAACAGGGTGAGAAGAAAAAAGGAGAGAAGGAAATCGGAAGAGAAGAGACGGGGAGAGGAAAAGAAAAAAAAAGGAAATATAAACTGAGAACAGACAAGACTAAAGGAGAAAATAAGGCTGGGAGAAGAAAAGAGATAAGATGAGAAAAATAAATAAAAGAGTATGAGAAGAAGAAGAAGGAGAAGAAGAAGAAGATAAAGGAGAAGAAGAGGAAGAAGAAGATAAAGGAGAAATATGAGAAAGGAGAGAAAAAAGAAGGAAAGAAGAAATGAAAAATATAAACGTAAAAGACAAGATGCAAATACAAAACAAATAAGTCAGAAAAAGCAAAGCTGAAAACAATATAGAAAAAATGGGTACTGATAAGGGAACAAAAATGGGTATTGATAAAGGAACAAGAGAAGAAAAAATGGGTATTGATAAAGGAACAAGAGAAGAAAAAATGGGTATTGATAAAGGAATAAGAGAATAAAAAATGGGTATTGATAAAGGAATAAGAGAATAAAAAATGGGTATTGATAAAGGAACAAAAGAAGAAAATGGGTATTGATAAAGGAACAAGAGAAGAATAAAGAGAAACTGAGAAAATATTAAAAAAGATAAATAAACAGGAACGAAAATTGTAAAACAACAAAAAAGTATCAAAAAAGTAAAAAGGTTTGAAAGTTAAAAGAGAATAGAAAGTAAAGAAAAAGAAAGAAGAAAAAGAGACAAAGACAGATAAAGTAAGTGGAAGAAGAGAGAGAGAGAAGAACGAAATCTCACATTTATTAATGATAAAAAAGAAAAATAGCAGGTGGATAAAAGAATATGAAAAATAGAATAATAAAAATTGGGAAACTGGCGAAAGATGAAAAAAGAAAGAAAAAGAAAAAGACGAAAGAAAGAAAAAGAAAAAGACGAAAGAAAGAAAAAGAAAAAGACGAAAGAAAGAAAAAGAAAAAGACGAGAAAAAGAAAAAGAAAGAGAAAGTAAAAGAGAGCAAGCAAAAGAAACAATGAAAAAGGAAGAAAAAAATAAAAAGAAGAGAGAGAGAGAAAGCGAGAAAAGAAATAGTAAATTTAGTCGTAAAAAAAAACGAAAAAAACAAGACAAATAGAATTGGAAAATAAGAAAGAAGAACGAAGTGAGCAAACTTTTTAGAACTGTTTAGAATAGAAATTAAAAGAAATAAATGCGGAATAAGAAAAGAAAAAAGAAAGATGGCGGAAATAAGAGACCGGAGAAGAAGGAGAAATGATTGAATCAGACGATAGGTTGCTGTTCTCGTCATCAATTTCAGTATTAATTATCCTGCCACTATGAATTTAGATATTCGCTTCACGTCTTTGCTTACGCTTCCCGTAGTTTCAAAACACCCAGAAACAATTATTTATTCCGCCGTTATTCTCGGAATCCCACATTTTATTTAGCCTTAAGGCACCGTTGACCTCTATCGCCACCCAACCCCTACAGCGATTTGCGATCACAACTGCACCACCACCTTAACAACGAATCCCAAATTTCACATCCGCTACACTCTTCCAATCATTCTTCTGTTCAGCTTATTATAAACTATCCAACCCATAATCAAGAATTCACCAATAATATAACGATGTAAACTCATCAGGGACATAAGTAATTCGATTAGTATTAAAATTATTTCCCCATGCCGATACCCCTTCTCCCATCCATGTTTAGTAGCCGGAGGGTGAGGACCAGCAAGCGGGTCGTTGTTGGGAGAGGTTACTTTCTCCGCTAGGAAGATGACCTTCAATCGAGGTTTCCGTAGGATTTTTAATGAAGACATTGTAGCCACCTGATTGAGGTCAAAAAGATGATTAACCCTGCCGCTTATGGTCGAAATCGCTGAAGCCTACGCCCTGGTTATTTCATGCCTGCCATAAGTACTACCCTGCCTTCTACAATTTGACGCCATCCAACTCTTTCCCCGGCTATTTCACAGGATTTCATCACTTTGGAAATCGAAATATATTTGAAATAAGCATATAAATGAAAACTTGCGAATTAGAAAGTAGAGGGAAACACCAAAACGATTTTTTTGTCAATACATTTTTAGAGAGGGCCCAACAGACCAGTACAAAGTTCGGAAAGTAATGTCGCATTTTTGGAGATGGGAAAGGGGAACGAAAAACACGTTCAATTCTAATAAAAGTTAAGTTTGTCAAGAACATAATTATCGTTATCACTAAAAACAAGATTCAATTATGATGTGAATTTTTTTATACATCGATAAAAGAAGTCTGGAATTACAAGCATCTTTAAGAAAAGGGGAAAGAAAAAAAGAAAAGAAAAAGAAAGGAAAGGAAAAAAAGAAATAAAAAAGAAAAAGGAAAAAAAGGAAATAAGGGAAAAGGAATAAGAAAAAATAAAGAAAATAGTAAAGAAAAAAAGTCAGCCTGTTATGTGCCATGCGTGATACACTCGTAGGCGATCATGTATCTTTCGATACATGACTGACGAGGCAGATTTTTCTCCCGCAGTGGGTTGCCATTTCTTTCTGCGGTAGACCAGTCGCCATCCAAGTCTATAGAACCCGGTCTGTCCTGATATTTTGCCCATAGCTAGGGAAAGAAGAAGATTCATACCTTTCCTAAGGTTATTAGCATGTGAGTGAATTTAAGTCAGTTATGTGCCATGCGTGATAAACGCTTAGGCGATCATGTATCTTTCGATACATGACTGACGAGGCAGATTTTTTCCTGCAGTAAGTTGTCATTTCTTTCTGCGGTAGACAAGTTGCTATCCAAGGCTATAGAATCTGAACTGCTATTTACTTTTAGATGGTTGGGGGTGGGGGAGAAGAGGAGGATTCATACTTTTCCCCAAGGGTATTAGCATGTAAGTGAATGTAATGGGTTCGACAGGAATTCGAACTCAGCTCTCCGATTCGCGCCGCTATCCATTACTCCACCGAAAGGAATAGGAAAAACGAAAGAAAATGAAAAAGAAAAGTCAAATATAAAACATTGGATTGTTCAGAAAATAATGAATGTTTGGAGAAAGGCTAAAATCACGTTCAAATATAAATAACAGATAAATAGATTTATTTATCAACAACATAAGTATTATTATTATTTGAACCGACAAAAAAGCCTCTGATGAGAGTAATTCTTTTATTTCTGGTTGAAGGAATCTGGGATTCGAAATTAAAAGAATTATAATCATGCTGAATGTTTCTCTTCTTTACTCTAAAGGTTTTTTTTTGCCACCAAGAAACATTCGAAATTGATCAATTTAGGAGGACGTCGGCGAACACCGCAACCCTAACATTTGATATTCTTCGGGGTTTATTATATTAATGCCATTTTAACTGACTGACACACGTTCTGCTTTGGAAGACATACACTATAGGTCAAACATTTGGTGCCACCCTTTAGATTTTGAAGAATAGCCTAAAAATTGAACGCTGCGTGCCTTTTTAAAACTATATTTCTTTTGTATCTGTCTATATCTCTGAGATGAGGTATTATGTACACTATTTACATTATTCGGTCTATTGTCCTCATCTTTGTCGCTATATTTATTACAACGTTTCGCCCGTTGTACGCTCCGGCCTTCTTCAGGTGGTTGGAATGTCGAACTGAACCCTTTATTTCGCTCACTGGGGTAGACTGTTCTAGTTCCACATGCCATGTCTAATGAATGTCAGTTATCAGTTATCTCCTGTTAATTTCCCTCTGAAAGTTCTCCACTGTCTTAACCGGGTATTGAACTCACACTCTGCGGTAGACTAGTTGCCATCAAAGGCTATAGAACCCGGTCTGTCCTACTATTTACCCATAGCTGGGAGAGAAGAGGGTTCATGTCTTTACCAAGGGTATTAGCATGTAAGAGAATGTAATGGAACTGACTGGAATTCGAACTCGTCTCTCCGATTCCTCAATCCGTTCTGCTATCCATTAGACCACCGTGTCTCCTGATAATTAGTAATAGTATTATTATTACCCTCTTCCCCCACGCACACACCCCTACTGGATAGACTTGCCTAACCTACCTCGCCGATTAATGGTAATCTTAGGGTTGGTAGATTTTAAATCTTAGATACCCCCCACCCATTAAAAAAGTGGGCGCCATTCACGAGTTTAGTAGTTTTTGCATCCTAGCTTAGTAGGAGTTAATTAAACCAAAGAAGGCTTACTAAATATTAAATCCCGAAGGTAACCCCGAAATTATGGCCTATCGTATCCATAATAAAACCAAGCAATATGTCCATTATACGGCATAAATACCTCTCATATGAATGGTATTTCATTAGTGGCAATGGTGTTTTCATCTACCAAATGTCTCAACATGTGGTCGATATTTCTGTCACACCTTGTACAAGCAGAAAAATTTCAAGTGAATTGATATTATAATAGGTTTTGGAAATTAAATAAAAATTCATTCAAATATATCCACCACTGTTAAATTAATTTACCAAAAACATCGTTTTTTTACAGAAATAATAAAAAAAAAATCTATTATAATAATTCTTCTATTCCTCAATGAAAAAAGTTTGGGATTGTAGACATTAAGAATTTTCATAAGTGTTACAATACAAATAAATAAATAAAAGATCCGGATATTAGTCCGAAGCAACGAATGATTAAAACTGTTCATCTAACAAGAATTCTGATAGTTTTGAATGTTTGTCTTCAGTATTTATAAACACTGCAAAGATTCAAATTCGAAAAAGAAAAACAAAAGTAAAAAGGAAAGGGAAAAAGAAAGGAAAAGGAAAAAAAGAAAGAAAATAAGAAAAAGAAAAACTGAAGAAAGGAAAAGAAAGAAAAAGAGAAATAAAAACACAGAGAAATAAAGAAAAAAGAAGAAAGAAAGAAAAAAGAAGAAAGAAAGAAAAAAGAAGAAAGAAAGAAAAAAGAAGAAAGAAAGAAAAAAGAAGAAAGAAAGAAAAAAGAAGAAAGAAAAAAGAAGAAAGAAAGAAAAAAGAAAAGAAAATTGATGAAACGAATAAGTTGAAATAAAAACGTGTTCTTTGAAAAACGGCATTATGGATTTTTTAAAGATTATTTATAAAATGAAAGAAAGAAATACATTACCTATGAAATGCCTATAGCTCAGATTGGGCTCAGATCTATGTAGCCCGATAAGCCACATTAATCTTACATCATTCTCTCTTTTCTTTCTTTCCTTCTTTGTTTATTTTTCTTCTTTCTTCTTTATTATGAATAATATCAACGAAACGTATTTCGGTCAATATTTTGAGGCACAGCGTTAAAACAATTAATTTTGGATCCAGGTGAAGTCAAGAATGAAAACGACGCGCTACGCAAGATTTTCGTTACTTTGAAATAGATACATTTAAATGTTGACTCACTTGGGCTAAGCCCGACAAGCCCGGGACCACCTGAGTCACCCAGATTATATATATATATATATATATATATATATATATATATATATATATATATATATATATATATATATATATATATATATATAAGCTCTCAGCGAGACTAGAACTGGTACTTCTTTTTGCCTTAGGAAACCCATTTTTGTTTTTTTTCATAAAGGCTGCCCTTCGGCTTGAACAAGAAAAAAGCTTTTACGACTGACAGGAAATCAATTGCAACAATTCAGACTTTTCTTTATTCATCGATCGCTCGGATCCCTAATATTGTTTTTGCCGAGACTCATAGTATTTTTTTTTATTAATGATGCTGTGTTGCTCATTTTTTGCGGGAGTCAGGGGGGGATAAAACATTCTCAACTTTTAACACGTACTAATTCGATGCCCGGTCGTTTCGCTTAGGGCAATATGGTTAAATTTCAAATCTAAATTGTTTTTTCCATTTAAAATAATACGTTTATTAAAAAAAACAAAACAAAACAAAAAAACGGAAAAAAGGAGTAATAAGAAATTATTTCAAATGGCCTGCTTATACACTTTTCCTGTTAACCATGGGTTGTTGCCAAACAGAAGAGGAAATTAACGCTTGCGACACAGATTTCATTCAAGTTGTGTGTGTACATACGTTTGCATATACATATCTTAATTCAATAACATTCGTATTAGAGGAGTTTGAAAGTGTTTTTAATGTTTAAGTCAGTCAGGTGCCATGCGTGATACACGCTTAAGCGATCATGTATCTTTCGATACATGAATGACGAGGCAGATTTTTTTTCCCGCGGTAGGTTGCCTTGTCTTTTTGCTGTAGAACCAGGTTTATCCTGCTATTTACCCATAGCTGGGAGAGGGAGAAGAAGAGCATTCATACCTTTCCCTTATTAGTACGAAAGTGAATGTAATGGATTCGACTGAAATTCGAACTCGGCTCTCCGATTCCTCAATCCGAGCCGCTATCCATTACGCCTTCTTTTAATGTTTACTCTATCTTATATTCGGACGATTGTTCCCATCTTTGTTGTTGTTATTACAACGTTTCGCCTGTTGAGCCCTACGGCCTTCCTCAGGTGTATATCGATCTGGTAACAAACAGGCAATTCTGAATTGAACCCTTTATTTATTCTATGGGTGTAGAATTCTCGTTTTTCTGTTCACGTCTAGGGTATTCTACTAGTTTTTTTTTATTTAGTACTGTTCAGTTATTTCTCGACCGTTTCAATGTATATTTCTTCTTCAAGTAGGAATTGGTGGTTACAGATTCTAAATGTTCTTACATAAAAGTCTGTGATTCGGATTTTATTGTTGCATTGAGAGTAAAAATGTAGGAAATCGTTATTACTTGTAGATTTTCGATAGACTTTGTATACTAGACTGCCCATAAACCCGTTGCGTTCTTTTTAAAAGCATTTACACAACTACAATGACGCAATGTATACGACATTAAATTATCAAACAACAGACTTCCAGAACGAACAATACCAGCAGAACATAAGCTGTTTCCGGATGATAACCTGGCTTTAATTTGAAACATCCCTTTAATGCAAACATTGCCCTGCAGGAAAAAGTTTATTTTTTTTTAAATGGAATTGCAAACTGATACGACACAAAAGGCCTTACCATTCAAGTAATAGTAGCCCCGGGGTGGCAATCTATACTAATTTTAGTATTCACCATATTATCATTTTCAAAGGTGAAGGTCACTCGAAAAAAAACCCCCAAAAAACAAACAAATATCAATCATCTGCTAAGAGAGATTCATATTTATTGAAATAACAAAAGTATGGATGCCTCCTTTTTGTGCAGTTAGTTTCATTTTTTTTTCGATTTTTTTTTCAATAATACTCTTTCTTCCTCACATTTTAAAAGACGTAACGCAGGTACAATTCTCAACAATAAACTAATATAAGCGATCATCGCAAAAGTAATAATAGCACAATGTTGTATACAAGCTTTTATATATATATATATATATATATATATATATATATATAGAGAGAGAGAGAGAGAGAGAGGGAGAGAGAGAGAAAGAAAGAGAACTACTACAAGTGGACGGATTTAAAATGCAAAAGAGACCAAAGACAAGAATACGTATCTCTAAAAAACAAACAAGTAAACACTTTCTGGTCTCTGGTTGTCGTATGTGATGGCTAATTTAATATATTGTCCCTCTCACCCTAAAAAAAAATTCCAACGCATCTTCTTTACACACAGTTTTACCTTTCATTCCGACCTGAAGAAGCTGAGACCAACAGACATCGGAGAAACATGTCATTTATAAGCTTTTCCACTTTGTCTCATCATCTCCACTACACTATTTTAAATATAACACAAACACACACACACATATATATATTAGCATGTATTTAAAATTTGCTATATTTTCAAAGGAAGAGCACTCATTATCGAACGTTTATAGATGTAGTGCGGACATAGGAATAAACACAGCATGGCGTCTGTCTGAAGATCGCGTTGAAGCGTGTAACTGATACTCAGCATGCAGTGTTGATTTCTTGATTCTATATATATATATATATATATATATATATATATATATATATATATATATCACGTTTTACAAATATATATATATATATACTTTTTCTATATATACATATTAAGAAAGTATACGTGGCTCTCATTATGCTATATATATGTATATATATACATCACGTCTTACAAATATATCACGTTTTACAAATATATTTTATTACTTAAACGTAATATTTAGTAGATACTAGTTTTTGAGTAGGCTCCCCATATACTTATTAAAAAGTATACTTCTTTATTTTCGTCTACCGACCTAAATAGTCAAGAAAACTTATTAGAGAAAAATATACGTCCATCCCTTTCTTTACAAATTGCTTTATTTACATTAGGATATGAAGCTGAGCAAATATGTTTATTTTAAGAGTCAGGAAGAAATCTGTGTTTACAGGCACTATTCAACTTTGCTTGGTCATCGACGCAGACTGTAGCCGAGAGGTTAAAGCACGTCAGATCTAATGGCGGTATCTTCGAGGGAAACCAGAGAGCCAATATTTTTATCTAATAAGATTTCTCGAATATTCAGGCTGGCAGACGAAAATAAATATATAAAAGACTAGTCATACACGAGTATCCACTAAAATAACGTTTAAGTAATAAAAACCTGTCGCATTAATAAATAAATAAACCCATCTATTTTTTCATAAATTATATATATATATATATATATAATTATTTATTCGAAAATTATAACATAAATATGTTATAAAATCACTACATAAATAGCCATTTTGTTTCAAGACTTCTGGTGTCTTATCAAATGATGGTGTTGAATGTAGAATAAAGGGTTATTTAAGGGTCAAATCAATCAAACAGCCCCCGCTAGGGGAAACTGTTACATAAACTGGAATGGCCAATCAAAATACAAGTATATGAGAATTCAAAAAACTTGACAACGAACTTTGGTTATAGTAATTAATTAATGCTTTAATGTTAGGGTTAGACTAAAATAGAATTTATTTTAACTAATTAATATTAAATTTTACTATAAAATTCAAAATTACCAACTTTAAATTTAATCTGTATTAAATAATTATAAAATTATTTAAAGAAGAAACTGAGGAAAAAATGCATGTTTTGCTATTTTTGTTTTTATTGAAAGGCCAAAAATTAAGTTGGAATAAACGTTAAAATCTAATGTTGCTCTGAGCTTCGTTACAACTTAGATACATTTGAAGTGATGATATCGGCAGGGGAGGGTGAAATCTTGCAGATTATAATACACAAACACGTAGGAATATTTAAAAAAAAACGACGAAAAAAAAAAACAGGAAATAGGTGTACTTGGTGATATATATATATATATATATATATATTAAATTGATAGCGATAAGAAAACTGGAATGGATAGATAATATCTGTTGTTGTCTCAGCATATATTCATAAATACGATTTATATACAGGCTGGGTTTTTGTAGGTTTGTGTTTGTAAATAGCTCCTTGTGCACGGGCGTGTATTTGCCGCAGCTGCCTGTTAAGTTGAGAGGTGAAATAGTTGCCCAAGGCTAACAATGTCACCGACGTTTAAGCACTATTACTACGTGTTTGCTTTCTTCTATCTATGGGCAGAGATTAGGGCATCTCCACCATTGGAGCCCAAAAGAAACGAATATTATAGACTGATCAAGGACTTTCCCTAAAAGAAGCGTATTGTGATTGTTTTATTTTCCTTAGCTTTTTTCTTTTATTGATTATTTTAGAGAAAAGGATGAACGGGTGTTTTTCTGCTATATTTCCATTCGAAATGACTCATTATTTAAAAAAAAAAAAAATGAAGATGCCTTAGACTTTCATAAAGATTAAATCGTCCTTTCCCCAATATTTTCATCTACAAACACCCAGCTTACTTAGTTTATTTTTAATCGTTTTATTTTATTTTATAAATAATAAATATCTCATATTGTCAAAGTGTCCTTGTCTGAAACTTTTCCGTTTTCGCTTATCGCTTTAGGATATTCCAACCATATTTCGTGTTTTCCCTCCCAATTAAGTCACATTTAGTCAAAGCAGACTTTTAGAAGGATTTTCGAGTAAATCTCTTTATTTTTCCAGGTTTTGTGTCCATATACATTAAGTTGAGTC